CACACAGCGAGAGAGACAGAGAGACACACAGAGCAAGAGAGACAGAGAGACACACAGAGCAAGAGAGACAGAGAGACACACAGAGCAAGAGAGACAGAGAGACACACACAGCGAGAGAGAGAGAAAAAGACACACACAGGAGAGAGCGAGAGAGACACACACACACGCACCAGAGAAAGACAGACACACAGCCAGAGAGAGAGACACACATAAAAACAGAGAGAGAGATTAATAAAAATAACTTTAAAAAGAAAATACAGATTTTTAATTACAGAATCATTTTCTCAGCATTCTTTATGTCTAATGATAGGTCTAACGTCCTGGTCCAGTCCCCGGTCCCGTCCCCGGTCCCGTCCCCGGTCCCGTCCCCGGTCCCGTCCCCGGTCCCAGTGCCACAGTCCCATCCCTGGTTGCGTCAATAAACTGCATTCCTTCTGACTCCAGTCCCAGTCCCAGTCGAGTCCCTCAGGTCTGACCTCTTGTGGGGAGCTGTAGTGCACCACTCCTGGAACCTCGTAGGCGATCTGCAGTGAAGCTCCGCCCATATCCATGATGCCCACCGTGCGCCGCCTGCTGATTGGCTGACGGCTCTGAGAACTCGTGGTGACCTCCACCGTCGCGTCGTCTGAACAAACCAGATATATTTACAGAAGTCTGTCCCAGCAGGAGGCCAGTCCCTGTGCTCCTCAGAGTCCCAGCAGGAGGCCAGTCCCTGTGCTACTCAGAGTCCCAGCAGGAGGCCAGTCCCTGTGCTCCTCAGAGTCCCAGCAGGAGGCCAGTCCCTGTGCTCCTCAGAGTCCCAGCAGGAGGCCAGTCCCTGTGCTCCTCAGAGTCCCAGCAGGAGGCCAGTCCCTGTGCTCCTCAGAGTCCCAGCAGGAGGCCAGTCCCTGTGCTCCTCAGAGTCCCAGCAGGAGGCCAGTCCCTGTGCTCCTCAGAGTCCCAGCAGGAGGCCAGTCCCTGTGCTCCTCAGAGTCCCAGCAGGAGGCCAGTCCCTGTGCTCCTCAGAGTCCCAGCAGGAGGCCAGTCCCTGTGCTCCTCAGAGTCCCAGCAGGAGGCCAGTCCCTGTGCTCCTCAGAGTCCCAGCAGGAGGCCAGTCCCTGTGCTCCTCAGAGTCCCAGCAGGAGGCCAGTCCCTGTGCTCCTCAGAGTCCCAGCAGGAGGCCAGTCCCTGTGCTCCTCAGAGTCCCAGCAGGAGGCCAGTCCCTGTGCTCCTCAGAGTCCCAGCAGGAGGCCAGTCCCTGTGCTCCTCAGAGTCCCAGCAGGAGGCCAGTCCCTGTGCTCCTCAGAGTCCCAGCAGGAGGCCAGTCCCTGTGCTCCTCAGAGTCCCAGGAGGAGGCCAGTCCCTGTGCTCCTCAGAGTCCCAGCAGGAGGCCAGTTCACGTACAGACCATAGTAAAAGTCACAGAGGAGTTGAGTTTTATTTTCCTTCGTGTTTGTAATAATATGAAAGACATTAATAGCAATAAATCACAGAATCTAGCCCCAATAATCTTGAATTGTGCCCAAATCGCAGCAGGGTCTGAGGATTTATGGACATTTATGAACATCGGTCTCCGCCCCTAATGGACCAATAACTCTCAGTGAAATCTTGGTCAATCCCACAGTGGGGAGAAGTTAGCGACCATTACTTCCGCGCTCCTTATGGGTAATGTGGGATTAAGTGTCTTGCCCAAGGACACAACGACAGCAGACATCAGTGGGAGTCGGTGGAGAAGGTCTCGCGGTGGACTCGAACCCACGACCTTCAGGCTCAAAGGCCAATGCTGAGCCACTGTCGCCCCATAATAACATAAAAGCTGCTTTTTTTATTGAATGTAGTAAGATTATTTTACTAGTTTTACTTCATAATCATAGAGAAAAAAGTCTGCGCAAAGAGTTTTTCATATTTGTTTAAAGTATTTTATTGTTATTTCCAGACAACTTTTATTGTTTAGATAAAATAAGTCTGTTCAGCTTTAATAAAAAAAAAAAACCTCAAAATGTTGAAGAAATAAGTACTTGAAATGTATGACTTTTTTTCACTAGAATCAAGTCATTTGGGGCTTTCAGAAGTCATGTTTTTTCTTAGTATTTTACATTTTTTCATGTTTATTTTATTAATTTTTTTCCAAAGTATTTCTTCCAGTGCTGCGTGTTTTGTATCATTGCATTTATTGTGTTTGATTCTCTGATCTGTTGTTTGCAAATTCAATGGTTTTGTAAAGTCCCGTGGGAGAACTGCTGTTGTTATTTAGGGCGATGTAAAAACAAGGTGAACTGAATGAATATTTTAAAACTATCAAATCGTGGCAGTTTCGCCCGTTCCCAGCTCTGGAACTCACCCACGTCGGCGTGATCGAAGCGGCCCAGGACAAAGTTGATCCCGATCCAGGCGTAGACTCCTGCAGAGACAGCGGCGTCAGGGACCAGGAAGTAGATGTGTATGTGTGGTGATGATGATGAGGAAGATCTGTACCTTCCTGTTTGCCGGAGATGACCTCAGCGTGAGACTCGGAAAACAGGAAGTCGAACTCTAGAGGAACGTCGCTCACAATGTCCTCCAAGATGGCCGCCTGCTCACTGCAAAAGCAAAACATGGAGGAACTTGTATCTGCCACAAGAGTGTGTGTGTGTGGGTCTACAGTCTTAGTCCTGGGTCCACAGCCTCGGCAGTCCTGGGTCTACAGCCTCGGCAGTCCTGGGTCCAGAGCCAAAGCCTCGGCAGTCCTGGGTCCAGAGCCAAAGCCTCGGCAGTCCTGGGTCCAGAGCCTCGGCAGTCCTGGGTCTACAGCCTCTGCAGTCCTGGGTCTACAGCCTCAGTCCTGGGTCTACAGCCTCAGTCCTGGATCTACAGCCTCAGTCCTGGGTCTACAGCCTCAGTCCTGGGTCTACAGCCTCAGTCCTGGGTCTACAGCCTCAGTCCTGGGTCTACAGCCTCAGTCCTGGGTCTACAGCCTCAGTCCTGGATCTACAGCCTCAGTCCTGGGTCTACCTGTCCGGCAGCAGCCTCATGCCAGCCGTGCAGAGGATGTAGAGCGGCGTCTCCTTGTGTTTGGTTTTGGGAACGTGAGCCGCGGCGAATCCCAGCAGCGGCTGCAGGTAGTCACTGGCAGCGGTCGGAGTTTTGGCCAAAGTCGAGATTCCTATGAGAGATGAGAGATACAGGAATGAAACCAAATGTGATGAGGCCAGAGACCAGAGAAAGATCAGAGAGAGACCAGAGAAAGACCAGAGAGAGAGACCAGAGAAAGAGACCAGAGAGAGAGACCAGAGAAAGAGACCAGAGAGAGAGACCAGAGAAAGACCAGAGAAAGACCAGAGAGAGACCAGAAAAAGACCAGAGAGAGAGACCAGAGAAAGAGACCAGAGAGAGAGACCAGAGAAAGACCAGAGAAAGACCAGAGAGAGACCAGAGAAAGACCAGAGAGAGAGACCAGAGAAAGAGACCAGAGAGAGAGACCAGAGAAAGAGACCAGAGAGAGAGACCAGAGAAAGAGACCAGAGAGAAACCAGAGAAAGACCAGAGAGAGAGACCAGAGAGAGACCAGAGAAAGACCAGAGAGAGAGACCAGAGAGAGACCAGAGAAAGACCAGAGAAAGACCAGAGAAAGACCAGAGAGAGACCAGAGAAAGAGACCAGAGAAAGATCAGAGAGAGGAGGGGCCAATTACACAGACTGGTTGCCTCGCTTCTGTCAGTGTGCCCCAGGGCAGCTGTGGCTACAGCAGTAGTTTATCACCACTGTATGGAGTGAATAAATAATGACATGTGAAGAGTCAGAGGGTCTCTGGCCTCCCTCTCTCTCTCTCTCTCTCTCTCTCTGGCCTCTGTTTCTCTCTGGTTTCTCTCTGGCCTCCCTCTTCTCTTCTCTCTCCCTCTTCTCTCTTCCCCTCTCTTTCTCTCTACCCTGTGAATCCTGTGCGGCTACTAAAGCACAGAGACCTGGTTTGATCTTGAGCACGACGGGCTTCCTGTCGCGGTCCCTCATCTGCCGTATGTCCAGCAGCGTGTGAGGGTTGCCATTGTGCGGAGGCCAGTAGTAGACGAAGACTCTGGACCCGCTGCTGCCACAGTCCACCACCACGCCGTAGTTCAGGGCCTGGTTCTGGACGTCCGTGGCCTCCAGGGACTCGGCCACAGACAAGTGCCTGCAGGGGGAAGAGCAGGGAGAGAGCAGAGGGGGAGAGAGTAAGGGGAGAGCAGAGGGGGAGAGCAGAGGGAGAGAGCAGAGGGGGAGAGAGTAAGGGGAGAGCAGAGGGAGAGAGCAGAGGGAGAGAGCAGAGGGGGAGAGAGTAAGGGGAGAGCAGAGGGAGAGAGCAGAGGGAGAGAGCAGAGGGGGAGAGAGTAAGGGGAGAGCAGAGGGAGAGAGCAGGGGCCAGACTTTAGGTTCTTTGTGCAGAGCAGTTTTAATGTATTCTGTGTCAGTCTTTGCATATGTACGTTTTTGCCCCTTTGTGTCCAGGATGGTCTCTGGTCTCTCTCCCTCTCTCCTCTCTGGTCCCTCCCTCTCTCTTCTCTGGTGCCTCGCTCTCCCTCGTCTGGTCTCTCCCCGTCTCTCGTCTGGTCTCTCCCTCTCTCTCGTCTGGTTTCTCCCTGGCCTCCCTCCCTCTCTCTCTGGCCTCCCTCCCTCTCTCTCTGGTCTCCCTCCCTCTCTCTCTGGTCTCCCTCCCTCTCTCTCTGGTCTCCCTCCCTCTCTCTCTGGCCTCCCTCCCTCTCTCTCTGGCCTCCCTCCCTCTCTCTCTGGTCTCCCTCCCTCTCTCTCTGGCCTCCCTCCCTCTCTCTCTGGTCTCCCTCCCCCTCTCTCTGGTCTCCCTCCCCCTCTCTCTGGTCTCCCTCCCTCTCTCTCTGGTCTCCCTCCCTCTCTCTCTGGCCTCCCTCACTCTCTCGGCCTCTCCTCTCTCCGCCTCCCTCTCTCTGGTCTCTCCCTCTCTCTGGTCTCTCCCTCTCTCTGGCCTCTCCCCTCTCTCTCTCTGGCCTCCCTCCCTCTCTCTCTGGCCTCCCTCCCTCTCTCTCTGGTCTCCCTCCCTCTCTCTCTGGTCTCCCTCCCTCCCTCTCTCTCTGGTCTCCCTCCCCCCTCTCTCTCTGGTCTCCCTCCCTCTCTCTCTGGTCTCCTCCCCCCTCTCTCTGGTCTCCCTCCCTCTCTCTCTGGTCCTCTCTCTCCTCTCCTCTCTCCTCTCTCTCTCTCTCTCTCTCCCTCCCTCTCTCTCTCTGGTCTCCTCTCTCTGGTCTCCCTCCCTCCCTCTCTCTGGTCTCCCTCCCTCTCTCTGGTCTCCCTCCCTCTCTCTGGTCTCCCTCCCTCTCTCTCTGGTCTCCCTCCCTCTCTCTCTCTCTGGTCTCCCTCCCTCTCTCTGGTCTCCCTCTCTCTCTCTCTGGTCTCCCTCCTTCTCTCTCTCTCTGGTCTCCCTCTCTCTCAGTGACTTCTTCAGTTTGACATGTTTTAATAAATCTTCAGTCTTTGGCACTTTTGCTCAGACGTGTTTCATGAATCTAAATATGTTCATGTATAAATATGGTTAATTCGGTCAGAACATCATGTGACATCACCAGAGCCAGTTTATCGCTGTGAACGTAGATAAACGGCAGCGCAGTCTTCTATCAACTGTAAATGTTCTGACACACGTTTGAAAAATGGACTTTGAACAAATGCAGGAGAACACTGATAATCACACGATAACATGGTTTTACAGCAGCACATGCTTTTTATCTAAGAAAGACAGCAAGAGGTGAAATCTGTGAAGTAGCAGCTAATGTTCCTCTCTCTGGTCTCTCCCTCTGTCTCTGGTCGGTCTCTCTCTCACTGGTCGGCCTCTCTCTCACTGGTCGGCCTCTCTCTCACTGGTCGGCCTCTCTCTCACTGGTCGGCCTCTCTCTCACTGGTCGGCCTCTCTCTCACTGGTCGGCCTCTCTCTCACTGGTCGGCCTCTCTCTCACTGGTCGGCCTCTCTCTCACTGGTCGGCCTCTCTCTCACTGGTCGGCCTCTCTCTCACTGGTCGGCCTCTCTCTCACTGGTCGGCCTCTCTCTCACTGGTCGGCCTCTCTCTCACTGGTCGGCCTCTCCCTCTCTGGCCTCTCCCTCTCTGGCCTCTCCCTCTCTGGCCTCTCCCTCTCTGGCCTCTCCCTCTCTGGCCTCTCCCTCTCTGGCCTCTCCCTCTCTGGCCTCTCCCTCTCTGGCCTCTCCCTCTCTGGCCTCTCCCTCTCTGGCCTCTCCCTCTCTGGCCTCTCCCTCTCTGGCCTCTCCCTCTCTGGCCTCTCCCTCTCTGGTCTCTCTCTCTCTGGTCTCTCTCTCTCTGGTCTCTCTCTCTCTGGTCTCTCTCTCTCTGGTCTCTCTCTCTCTGGTCTCTCTCTCTCTGGTCTCTCTCTCTCTGGTCTCTCTCTCTCTGGTCTCTCTGTCTCTGGTCTCTCTCTCATCAGAGATCTTGGATACTAATCCTAGCATAAATTTACTGAGGGAACATTTAGTACCATGTTAAAACCCAATAACTGACAGGTTTTGGCGTCTGCAGAGTTTTAAACAGAGTGTATAAGGAGCGTTCACAGGTGGAGAGAGTCCGCAGCTGGGACCTTCTCATCATGTACGGCTCTTATCGGTTTGGTTCTTATTTTTAGCTGAGGCTGCGAGTGTGGGCTGTGCATCCAACGTTACATAACTCACACCAAGCTCTTCAAACAAAAACATAAGACTGAGCTCACCCACTCAGGAAGTGCTCATGGACAAAGATTCTCTGGTCGGTCTCTCTCTCATTCTGGTCTCTCTCTCACTCTGGTCTCTCTCTAGTCTCTCCTCTCTCTCTAGTCCCTCTTTCTCTCACTCTAGTCTCTCTCTCACACTGGTCTCACTCTCTCTCTTACTCTGGTCTCTCTCTCTCTCACTCTGGTCTCTCTCTCTCTCACTCTGGTCTCTTTCTCTGTCACTTTGGTCTCTCTCTAGTCTCTCCTCTCTCCTCTCTCTCTAGTCTCTCTCACTCTCTCTAGTCTCTCTCACTCTAGTCTCTCTCTCACACTGGTCTCACTCTCTTTCTCACTCTGGTCTCTCTTTCTCTCACTCTGGTCTCTCTCTCTCACTCTGGTCTCTTTCTCTCTCACTCTGCTCTCTTTCTCTCTCACTCTGCTCTCTTTCTCTCTCACTCTGCTCTCTTTCTCTCTCACTCTGGTCTCTTTCTCTCTCACTCTGGTCTCTTTCTCTCTCACTCTGGTCTCTTTCTCTCTCACTCTGGTCTCTCTCTCTCTGGTCTTTCTCTATAGTCTCTCTCTCTAGTCTCACTTGTTAGGCTGGGTGTTGGGTCTCCTGGGGGGGCTCCAGAGCAGCAGCAGCAGCAGGGCAGAGCACAGCAGAAGCAGCAGAAACACCAGTCTCTGTCGCGGGACGCAGCCCAGAGAGAGCAGAGACACGGAGCAGTACCAGGAGGCCGGCACACACGACAACGTGATCCTGCAACACAAACACACACACAGTCAAGAGACCAGAGCCAAAACCAGAGACCAGATAGAGACCATGGATCTATTATAATAACTGGATAGGGTATTACTAGCTTGTAGCTGAATAAGTAAGTAAGTAAGTAAGTAAGTAATGTTTATATACCGCCTTTCACAGACAGAGTCACAAAGCGGTTTACAATTGTTATTTTTGGGCACTTATCCTCTCACTCCACTCAGAGATGGGAGCGGGGTCGCCGAACAGGAGGCGAATGCCAGACCTATTGTACATATTTTTAGTGGTAGGGGAAACCGGAGTACCCGGAGGAAACCTACGCAGACACGGGCAACATGCAAACTCCACTCAGAAAGGCCCTGGTCCGACCGGGATTCGAACCCAGGACCTTCTTGCTGAGAGGCGAGAGTGCTATCCACTCAGCCACCGAATAACTCACGTGCTCAGGGGATTCTCTCGGTACTGCAGACTGAACCAGACTAAATTCACGTGGGCTACCCAGAAATTTTCCCCATAGAACTCAATGCATATTAAAACAGCTCAACCTCAGCTGACAGAGAACCTACAGCTTTAATAAAGATTGGATTTTGTGGGGATTTTAGTGTCCCTTGTCATCCTGAACTTTTTTTCTTCTTAAATCCTTTGGTTTTGTTTAAATCCACACTTTAGTGCCACAAACTCTGCTCGTCTGGCTCTCGCTCTAACTCCCGCTCTGATGAACTGCTCTGATTGGTCAGAGCGCGGCCGAGCCCCTCTGTGCACGTGCGTGAGACCCGGTGTGAGACCCACACACGCGTGTTTGGCGCAACGCATTATGGGAGATCATCCACTGCACAGAACCGGGAGGACCAGACGATGCCCAAATACAGGCGAGTTTCTCATGGATCTTTGCGAGTTCCAGACGACTTCCGCTAATCTTTCAGCCCCCATGCCGTCACAAAGCGCCACTGAGCACAACCATTCATTTGAATAGGGCGCCATCTTGGATCGCCGGGGCTTGATAGAGACCAGTAAGACCTGAGGGAGACCAGACAGAGAAAGACCAGAGAGCAAGACTAGAGAGACTGACAAAAACTAGAACCAGATAGAGAGATAGACCAGTAAGAAACACAAGAGAGAGAGAGAGACAAAAGAGAAAGACCAACGAGAGACCAGAGTGAGACCAGATAGAGAAAAAGTGAGAGACCAGAGAAAGATAGACCAGAAAGAAACACAAGAGAGAGACAAGATAGAGGGAGCAGAGAGAGAGACAAAGGAGAAAGACTAGAGAGCAAGACCAGAGAGAAAATTACGAGACAGAGACTAGAGAGAGACAGATCAGAGAGAGACCAGCAAGAGACCGACAAGAGCGAGCGACCAGAGAAACACGAGAGAGACAAAAGAGAAAGACCAGCAAGAGACCAGAGAGAGAAAGATGGACCAGAAAGAAACATATGGAAGATTTTTTGTGTCATCAGATTTTGAATTTTTTTTAGCTTGAATTTTTCCATTTGAAATTTTTAACCCTGAAAAAGAATGTTTGAATATTTTTATCTTTACATTTCAATCACTAAAAATTCATTTTACACATTTCAAAATGACATATTCACCTTCAAAATATTCAATTTTTTTTGTTCAATGAAAAAAAAGATGGATTGTTTGTTCCATCAGAAATTTTATTTTTAATGGACCTGAATTCATCTATTTGAATGTTTTTAACATCTTGAATATTTTTTTCTGTGAATTTCAGTCACTGATTATCAATTTCATAATGTCAAATTCAACAGTCAAAATTCAATGGTGAAAAATGCACATGACACATCCGGTGTTCTGACGAGTTGTGTGCTCTGTCAGTTGCTCTGTCAGTTGCTCTGTCAGTTGCTCTGTCAGTTGCTCGGTCAGTTGCTCTGTCATTTGCTCTGTCAGTTGCTCTGTCAGTTGCTCTGTCAGTTGCTCTGTCAGTTGCTCTGTCAGTTGCTTTGTCAGTTGGTCTGCGCATACGTCATGTTACTGAGGTAAAGACAGGCGTAGCTTTCAGCAGGTCTATGGGTTGATAACATGAATCTAACAGGTTGATAACATGAATCTAACAGGTTGATAACATGAATCTAACAGGTTGATAACATGAATCTAACAGGTTGATAACATGAATCTAACAGGTTGATAACATGAATCTAACAGGTTGATAACATGAATCTAACAGGTTGATAACATGAATCTAACAGGTTGGTAACATGAATCTAACAGGTTGATAACATGAATCTAACAGGTTGATAACATGAATCTAACAGGTTGATAACATGAATCTAACAGGTTGATAACATGAATCTAACAGGTTGATAACATGAATCTAACAGGTTGATAACATGAATCTAACAGGTTGATAACATGAATCTAACAGGTTGATAACATGAATCTAACAGGTTGATAACATGAATCTAACAGGTTGATATGGGAGTTCTAATGAATGGATTGTAATGAAACCAAGGCGAATAACAAGATGATACTACATTAATTTGATGAGTTAGTCTTTTGAACATTTTGGGTAAATTTGCTCATTTCAAATCATTATTGCTGTATATTCCTGTTTATTTATTTAGGCTGTGTGTGTTTGTTTGTGTTCATGAAAACCATCACATTTGAACATTTATAGCAAAGGACAGTGTTATTGTTGGTAACGTGACACAGTATTTGGGTCTAGTTTCCCGTGTAGCAGTTTCCACAGGGCTCACTCGTGTTACCTGAAAAAGAGCTCCATGTAAAGGAATTAACAAAAAACATGTATTCCACAGCTCAAACTCTTGTACACCAAATGATATTTGCTGAGTTGTCTCTGAAATAAAGTAACAACGGTAAGAACACCGTATGGCTCCTTATTTCTTGAGCTGTGAAAAGTTACGTGCTCTTTTGGTTCCACTCGCTCCGTAAGTGAGTGAGTAAGTGAGTGAGTGAGTGAGTAAGTGAGTGAGTGAGTGAGTGGTCGGTCAGTCTCTCTCTCGTAAATATTCTAAGTTAACAAAATCTCCATTAGTTCTAAAGGGTCTAATGTAGATAACGAGAGATTCCAACGTCAGTGAAGAGAAAACAGAGTTCATTATGCGCAGACCAACTGACAGAGCAACTGACAGAGCAACTGACAGAGCAACTGACAGAGCAAATGACAGAGCAACTGACAGAGCAACTGACAGAGCAACTGACAGAGCAACTGACAGAGCAACTGACAGAGCAAATGACAGAGCAACTGACAGAGCAAATGACAGAGCAACTGACAGAGCAACTGACAGAGCAACTGACAGAGCAAATGACAGAGCAAATGACAGAGCAACTGACAGAGCAAATGACAGAGCAACTGACAGAGCAAATGACAGAGCAACTGACAGAGCAACTGACAGAGGAACTGACAGAGGAACTGACAGAGGAACTGACAGAGCAAATGACAGAGCAACTGACAGAGCAACTGACAGAGCAACTGACAGAGCAACTGACAGAGCAAATGACAGAGCAACTGACAGAGCAACTGACAGAGCAACTGACAGAGCAACTGACAGAGCAACTGACAGAGCAACTGACAGAGCAACTGACAGAGCAACTGACAGAGCACACAACTCGTCAGAACACCGGGTGTGTCATGTGCATTTTTCACCATTGAATTTTTTCTCGTTGAATTTTGACTGTTGAATTTAACGTTATGAAATTGATAATCAGTGACTGAAATTCACAGAAAAAAATATTCAAGATGTTAAAAACATTCAAATAGATGAATTCAGAATTAAATTTCTGATGGAACAAATAATCCTTTGTTTTTCATTGACATTTTTTTTTTTATATTTTATAAGGTGAATATGTCATTTTGAAATTAGTAAACTGAATTTTTAGTGATTGAAATGTAAAGATAAAAATATTCAAACATGCTTTTTCAGGGTTAAAAATTTCAAATGGAAAAATTCAAGCTAAAAAAATATCAAAATCTGATGACACAAAAAATCTTCCATAGAAACACAAGAGAGATAAGATAGAGGGACCAGGGAGAGACAAAGGAGATAGACCAGAGAGAGGGCAGAGAGAACATTTTGAGACAGAGACTAGAGAGAGATAGATCAGAGAGACCAGCAAGAGACCGGAGAGAGAGATAGACCAGAAAGAAAAACAAGAGAGAGACAAAAGAGAAAGACCAGCGAGAGACCAGATAGACAAAAAGGCGAGAGACCAGAGAGAGAGAGACCAGTAAGAAACACAAGAGAGAGAGAGAGACCAAAGAGAAAGACCAACGAGAGACCAGATAGACAGAAAAAGTGACCAGAGAGAGAAAGATAGACCAGAAAGAAACACAAGATAGAGGGACCAGAGAGAGAGACAAAGGAGAAAGACCAGAGAAAGAGTTGTACAGCCAGAGAGAGAGAGACCAGAGTGAGACCAGAGCAGTACCGCAGACAAAACTGAAATGATTGTCTTTGGTCCCCAGAAACAAAGAGAGAGCGTCATCTGTCACCTACAGTCTCTCTCCCTAAAACCTTCAAACAAGGTCAGAAATCTAGGGGTAATACTGGACTCAGACTTACATTTTAATAGCCACATCAAATCAGTAACATCAGCAGCTTTTTACCATCTAAAAAACATTTCCAGGATCAAAAACATAGTGTCTAAAGCAGACCTGGAGATTCTTATCCATGCATTTGTCTCCAGTAGGTTAGACTACTGCAATGGCCTGCTCACAGGTCTGTCCAAACAGGCTGTAAAACAGCTGCAGTACATTCAAAATGCAGCAGCTCGAGTCCTGACTAGAACCAGGAAGTACGACCATATTAGTCCAGTTCTCAGGTCTCTGCACTGGCTTCCTGTGGCTCAGAGAATAGACTTTAAAACAGCTCTGCTTGTGTACAAGTCTCTCCATGGCCTCGCACCAAAATATATTAGTGACATGTTAGTACCATACGAACCAGCCCGGACTCTGAGGAGCACAGGGACTGGACTCCTGTTAGTGCCCAGAGTCAGAACTAAACATGGGGAGGCTGCTTTTCAGATTCATGCTGCTAAAATCTGGAACAGTCTTCCTGAAGATGTGAGACAGGCCTCCTCTCTGACAATGTTTAAGACAAGGTTGAAAACAGTTCTGTTTAGCTGTGCATACAACTGAGGGATTTTATATTTTTATCTTTTTTTTTTAATGTACTGTGATTATTTATGATTTTAATGCTTTCTTATTCTGTTCAGCACTTTGAATTGCCTTGTGTATGAATTGTGCTATACAAATAAACTTGCCTTGCCTTGCCTTACCATGAGGCTGGCAGGCACGACAACATGATCCTGATGTATTTGAACAGCAGTCTTTATCAGTCTCTTACCTTGCCATGAGTCCAGCTCAGGTTCAGTCCACCAGTCACCTCATGTTGACGGTCAAATCCGGTCTCATCCACATCCAGGAAACTTCATCTCTCTGCAGGAGAAGACAAAAGCCCAGTTTACTTCAGTGTTTGTGTCACAATAGATCTCATTTCCCAAGCACCATCCTCCTCGCCTGGGAGCCTCTTTGGTCCTGGATCTACACAGCCTCGGTCCTGGATCTACACAGCCTCAGTCCTGGATCTACACAGCCTCAGTCCTGGATCTACACAGCCTCAGTCCTGGATCTACACAGCCTCAGTCCTGGATCTACACAGCCTCAGTCCTGGATCTACACAGCCTCAGTCCTGGATCTACACAGCCTCAGTCCTGGATCTACACAGCCTCAGTCCTGGATCTACACAGCCTCAGTCCTGGATCTACACAGCCTCAGTCCTGGATCTACACAGCCTCAGTCCTGGATCTACACAGCCTCAGTCCTGGATCTACAGCCTCAGTCCTGGGTCTACAGCCTCAGTCCTGGATCTACAGCCTCAGTCCTGGATCTACACAGCCTCAGTCCTGGATCTACAGCCTCAGTCCTGGGTCTACAGCCTCAGTCCTGGATCTACACAGCCTCAGTCCTGGATCTACACAGCCTCAGTCCTGGATCTAACAGCCTCAGTCCTGGATCTACACAGCAGCCTCAGTCCTGGATCTACAGCCTCAGTCCTGGATCTACACAGCCTCAGTCCTGGATCTACACAGCCTCAGTTCCTGGGTCTACAGCCTCAGTCCTGGATCTACACAGCCTCAGTCCTGGATCTACAGCCTCAGTCCTGGATCTACACAGCCTCAGTCCTGGATCTACAGCCTCAGTCCTGGATCTACACAGCCTCAGTCCTGGATCTACACAGCCTCAGTCCTGGATCTGAGTTCCAGAGACGACTGCTGTTGTGATGGGCTTTATACACAAGCAGCTGTTAGTGCCACACGTTTATCTGTGTTAGCTACTTAAGCTAACAGCGCTATCATAGAGTTAAAACAAACACTCTGGCATTAAACATGAGTCTGTTGTGTTGTTATACGTGTAATACAGACAGGTAATGACAACACCTGATGACTCTGGTGTAGGCGAACACAAACTCACCGAAAACACGTCTTCTCTTCTCCATCGCCGCTAAATGCGTGAGAACAGCGGCTCCAGAGCCCAGAGCTGTGGCTTAATGATTACAGTGCATCCCTGAGGCGGAGAGGACGACGACGAGAGGAAACAGCGGATCCGCAAAAGACTTCCGGGTTTCGTGACGTAAGGGGCTTGCGTCACCGTCACGGACCTCCCTCTTCCGGTGATTTCTATATGTTTATTATTCATTCGTAGTGCAGGCGACGCTACTAACACTACTGCTAACACTACTGTAACATACTCTTTAGGATTTTACATCAGGCAGTTAAGTGGCCACCCTTGGTTATGCTGTTATGATTTGAATGTGAGAAATAAAGCCAGAGCCGGTACGGCTGCAGTTGGAAAAGCGTCTCTCGTGTGTGCTCTCAGAGCTAAATACATTTTTACAACACTACCTAGACCTTCTCGGTTACACTACTAATGCTATTACTATCATAGACATGTAAAGATAAATATGTCTATAATTATTACTACTACTGCTGCTGCTACAAAGATGGAGAGTAGTCTGGTCTTTCGCAGACGTCATATAAATTTATTCCGGTGTTCTGTCGAGTTGGTCTGCCTGTCGAGATGATCTATCTCAGCTGTTAATGATGTAATGCAAACCAGCACTGCGCGTCTCACGGCAGCCGAAGCTGCTAAAAGTTAAATACGAACGCAATGCAATTTGAGGCGAGATGTTGATGGTTCCGCGTTGTGATATGTCGGTTTTAAGAGTAAGAGTTTCGTGTAAAGTTTGTTTTAAGCAGTCCACTGCTCCTGTGAAACTACACTGCTAGTGTGCCCAAATCTGATTTGCGCATGCGCAGCAACCCACCAGAATGGGGAAAAAACTCAACCTAATTAAATATTTCGTTTTAACACACTATTATTAATCATATTGAATACAGTATGATACATGCATAAAATGTAATTTATTTTTTCCATTATCAACCCGACAGACCAGTCACAGGACGCGTCATGGGCCTGACGTATGCAGCAGTCAACTCAGGGACTGCGATCACACAGCAGCAGTGTAGTTTCACAGGAGCAGTGTACTGCTTAAAACAAACTTTACACGAAACTCTTACTCTTAAAACACACATATCACAACGTGGAACCATCAACATATCGCCTCAAATTGCATTAAAAGTGACATTCGTGTCTTAATTCGTTTGTATTAAACTTTTAAAGCAATTCGCGGACTACATGTCCGCCATCTTGGATTGCTTCGGCTGCCGTGAGACGCGCAGCGCAGGTTTGCATTACATCAGCCATTCCCAAACTCAGTAACACCGAGGCCCCCTTAAAAATCTGACGGGTCTGCGTGGCCCCCCCAAAATAATAACCAAGAAGACAACATTAAGAATAGGCTCTTCTGGTTATTTTATTTTGGGGAAATAGCCTCTGCTACAAACATTGTAATACATAAATGATTACAGTGGCTTATTCAAGTCAAATAATGAACACAAATATTTTAATATTACAAACAAAACATTATACATTTAACATTAAATAATTATATATATATATATTTTTTTTTTTATGACCTCCCGCGGCCCCCCTGCAGTACCCTCGCGGCCCACCAGGGGGCCGCGGACCCCACTTTGGGAGACACTGCATTACATCATTAACAGCTGAGCATTACATAAGCGTCACAACTCGGCAGAGCGGCACAACTCGGCAGAACACCGGCCTTGAGCACTTGGTCGTAGGTGGAGAAAAAATAAAACAACAATCAATTACAAAATGTACAAAAACAAACAGAAAACTTACAACAACACAATCAGGAAAAACAAGAACAACTACTTTGCAAAACTAATCAACCAAAACAAAAATAATCCAAAAGTCCTCTTTTCAACCATCGACACCATTTTAAACCCTGATTTTAGCATGTCTCTTTTAACCCCCACAGACTCCCTCTGTGAGGACTTTGCAGTCCACTTCATGGGGAAGATAAACAATCAGATCGAACCGCACTACTGTTTTTAACACATCTGATTGTTTGTCTTCGCCAGAGGAAACACTGGACAGTTTTGTCCTGGTTGATGCTGAGATGCTTGATAAAGTTTTCTCCTCAGTGAGGCCCACCACATGTCTTTTGCCGCTTTTCCACAGTATCAGTACTATAGCACGGTTATTTTGCGTTTCCACTAGTGGATGGTATGGGAGATTTGAGTACTTTTCCGTACTGCCTCAGTCGAGGTTCCATCCCCATAGTACCAGTGCCATGACGTCACGTGGGCCCACTGCCTTACACTGATTGGTCAACGAGTGTCGTCACTGGAAGCGACGTCTGACCCTTTGGGAAAAACAACTCAACCGCCATCTTTAAAACAGGCTGCTCTGCTCGGCTCTGCTTCGGCTTCATTACGTCCTCCTCACTCCAGAGAAATGGAATTGCACAGAAAGCCCCAAAAGTCCTGGTCCTGGTCGGTGGACGAGGTCCACACGTTCCTCTCTTCAGGCCAAAGAAAGAATTCAAAGGCAGCTCGAGGCTCAACACAGTTTTCAGGGAGATCACCAGCTCTGGATTTGTGACTAGTCTGTGGTGATCCTGGAAATAACTGGTTAGCTACAAATCCCGTTAAAGCTCTCACTGAAATGTATTTACTGTGTACATGTTCGATTGTCTGTTGTACACAGTGAGCTAGCTACAATTAGCTTCCTTTAGCTATCGATAGCAGCTAAGCTAACGTCCTCCCTGTGCTACTGTGCTTTATCTCGTATAATCTGCAGTTTCACGTGTTTCTGTTTTGTGCTTGTATTTAAGTTGTCGTGTGTATATTTGTATGAGAATCCCTTTCCATAAGTGTGGAGATTACCAACGAGTAATGAGTGACCGGAGTATTCTCCTCATCTGGACCTGGTCTGGACCTGGTCTGGACCTGGTCTCACACATACGTACTTTTGACTTTGTAAACTGTTGGTTTTGCACTTTACTTTTGTTTTCAATAAATCTGTGATTGTATCAAGACTGTGTTTCATTCATTTATTATTATTGTAGCTGAGGTTTGGGTATCGATTGTTTGTCTGGTCTCGGAGTCTGCTGTAGTCCGGACCCGAGTCCGGACTAGCCTAGCTTAGCTTAGCCTAGCCTAGCCGCTAACTCGCTACCCCTATGGCTGCCGCTTTCTCTCCCTCGGTCCTTTACTGCTTGAGTTGCCATATGACGAGTTTAAACCATAGACTGTATATAATAACGGACAGAGTCACGCCTATCTCCGCCATGAAAAGTGCTTTCATGGAGCTATCCAAGATGGCCGTGAGTGGTCCCGCCCACAAGAAAATGGTGAAAAAACGCATCTGCGCATGCGTCAGCCGGCGCAACTCCATTCATTTGAACGAGAAACTTCAAAAATTCACAGCAAGTAAACTAGAGTGGACCAAAACACCCCCTCAGCATTGACACACATGTGGAACGGAGCTTTGGGCCAAGAGCCAACTTTTGGTCCATCCTGTAAAGACGTTTTTGAGAGGTCTGCCAATGCTATATGTTAGCGTTGGCTAATTCTACTTCGGGGTCCACCCCCATCGGCCCGGGGTGGTATTGCAGCATGTCAGCGCACGTCATTTTGGCCATTTTAGAGCTGGGACCGGCCCCCCCTGGTTTAAACCCTGGATCCTCCTCTGAGGGCAGTGATAGATGTGTTAAGTGTAGTATAGTAGTAGCTTTGGAATCCAGGGTTAGTGAGTGAGCAGAGTCTCGAGCTAGCGCTGGCATTAGCTATAGCCTAGCAGTATCCTCGGACATGCAGCCCTCCTCTGCTACACAGGCTGCTGTTGCTACAGGTATGTCCCATTCAGATTGTACAGAGCAGTCAGCACCATTGACTTCACAGTGTCTGAGTCATTCTTTTAAGACA